GTACTCCCTCCGTTCCAATCTATTTTGGAACGGAGGGAGTATGTTTGAAACCTAGATTTTTCTACTGATAGAAACTAAAATAATATGATATACATGTCACTCATAGGATCCAAAAGATAAGATAAATATGACAAAAGCTAGTAAAATGTCAAAAAAAAAAACCATGGCCATTAGGCCCACTCGACCTACTGGCTCATCGAATATTATCTTCTACTACTGGATTCAGTTTTGATTCATCTAAAGATCACATCAACACTTGCATGCTTGTTAAAAGAAGTTGACATTGGGCTCCAACCAAATAGCAGTAGCTCTTAATGTTAGGATGACCAGGGAGTTTTGCCCTTTCTTCATGGCGGCTAGAATGGAAAACAACCATCTGGGTGGAAGAATTCCTGAGAGCAATAAGCTACCCTGATTAGATTCACCTAAGCACATTAAATAAGATTAGGTTCACCTGAAAATCTTGAAATATATTTGCTTTCCACCGAGCAAGATGGTTAAAGAACTCTGGCTCTGCGCCGCAGTTGATCTGCAACATCTAATGTTCAAGACCAGCCAGACGTTTGTGTTTTAAAGGTGCCCAATGCTTCCACAATTGTTCTGCAAATGGGAAGCTCACGTTTGTGTTTTAAAGGTGCCCAATGCTTCCACAATTGTTCTGCAAATGGGAAGCTCTGAATCCTGCCAAAGGAAGATCTTTGTTAATTCATACACATGCAAAGCAGAGTATCATCTCCCCTCGGCAACAACTCACGTTAGTGGATGGTGGGTCTGACGTAAAGATATTAAGCAATAGTAGGGATGCTGAGATCACCTATTATATCCTATAATAACATTTTTGCAGCAAGATGTCCTGGACTGAGTATATTCCGACTAACCCTCTTCTGATGGTGGCAAAGAGGTCAGCAGCCAGAGTGTTCATAGTATTCCTGAATCTAATATGATCCAGAAACAAGCATGATTGCCATCCTATAAGATCGTCCTGATGGAAGCCGGGTGATTCCCTACACGGCTACACCATTGGGAAACATGATCTCTTTCTGCTGGACATGAAAAAACAGTTTAACTATGATGACATGGGAAACCAACATATCCATATTAGAAACACAAAACCATTCATATAAAGAAAATCATGCACCCACACATTGATCACTTGTTTCTTCCTATCCAAAGCTGGCATAATAATCGCCCGCAAAATGTCGTTCAGGCTGACCCAAGTCCCAGTGTAGTTTCCCAGAAAAAGTATACACCATATAAGGTTAGTAGCCATTGGCAAGCAAAACGTGAATTAACAAAACACAAGTGTTTCTATTTTGACTGATGTAGAGCTTTGCAAGAACAGACACATGCTCTTTAGGTAAAGACACGTTAAGAAGGTATAAAGCAGCTTCCATGGAAAAACTATTATTTTTGTCGTGTGCTATTTCTAGCATTGAACTTCCATTCAAAGTTCAGAAAAGAAATATTCAGCTTTGGAACTACTTGAGTTGAAATGTTGAGTATAAATTCTTGGTCCTAAGTTACTTATTCAACAATAACTCATCCTAGTCAAATCAATATTAAATGATTTCCTTGGTCTTTGATAATTACGCGGCAACAAAGTAGATGTAAATGTAATAGTAAATTGAGACCAGTATATACCTCTCCTCCTTGTTGCGGTTCTTCTTAAGACAAGTGGTTCTATGCACTTTGCTTGATATTCCCAAATGGAATGCCCACAAAGACTATTGGTGCCGTTGCCCTGATCTTCTAGCTGATCATATCCAGACTGCAGATCCTAGATCCTTGGGTCTGAATGTGATGTGATCTCCATCATGGTGATCCCCTGTTTCGATTTTGGTGAACCGGGTGAGCATGGAATTGGTAGTGCCATTGTCGTTGAGACACATCATATTAGAAGCATGATGAGCCCCAAATTTCATTATGCCTCAAAATAATGGATATATTGATGCCGAATAGAAATCTGCTTAGTTAAGACTGACAGACAACATGCTTGCGCTTGCTCTAATTTTCAAACCAATTAAATCGACCAAAATTGGTACCATTGTAAGCTTATGGTAAAGCCTGCAATATTCATGTTCGGTACGTCTGTTGATCATGAACCATTCAGTCCCAGTTCTCAACTTAACATTATATTTCTTTTTCCAAATACCAATTCCATCTACGGAGCATGATTTCTTACAATCTACAATGAAACTATGATCTAGGTATTGTATAGAAGTTACCCTAGAAGCGTAGCTGACCATTTTGACTCGGTAGATCAGAAATAGACATACCTGCGGCATCCTTCGAGAACTTTAGCCATGTTTCCACCATTACTGGGAATAAAAACATCACCTATGACAGAAACAGTATAGTCCAGGGATACCATTTGAGTTTGAGGTTTTTTATAGAGGTTTAGCTCATAATCAGATAGAAAATCCTTACACACCCACACTTTTAATATTAGATAAGCTTCGTTCCATAAATTATGATGTACTTACTCTCTTACTGTATTCTATGCAAATAATATTTTTTCACCACCGTAGATTCCACCTAAGGCAACATCTATATGAGTATACGTAGGGAAACCAAGAGCTTTGAGCACCAATGTTGTTTCCACCAGGTGTAAGCAGTGGAAGCTTAGATCTTCATAATAATCATGCTACTGCTTGTACCAGAATAGTTCTGGACCATTGCGCTGGGCAAAAGAATTCATAGCCTAAGTATGGAATAAATAACCTCACCAACATAGGAACAACTAAGAACTGGTTTATCCTCTGTCATGCCAATAAGAGCGCCAATGTCATAACACTGGATATGATTGTTGATGTGTTTATGATATAAATACAATTAGTAATTTGTAAGTGGCATGCATTATTGTCACAAAACCCAAAGTATTTTGCTCTCTAAAATACAAACTCACTCTCAATAACCTAAGAACTTCTCACTCTGAACCATCAATGGCGGAGACAGAGCTAGAGCAGCTATGGCTATAACCCTAGGCCTAGTACTAACATACCTTGCAATTCCTTTCTACAAAGTACTTGAAAATTTAAGAGTTCATCATTCAAGCTAAATCCGCCATTGTGAACCATAATGTCAAAGAGATAACAAACCAGTTAAGTATACCCCTTGTAACTTCTGACACAACTAAATGTATGTTGACCTGCATAGCAAGATCATCATCCTCTTATACCGTTGGTGCAGCAAACCACACAAAAGCATCAAAACTTATTGATTCTCATGCTCGAGAGAAATCCCCAAAACTGACATCCTTTCTTCCAGAAAAATAAGTCAATCTGGTCATAAAGAATGGAATGAAGGGACAAAAGTGTGCATACGAGCGGCTTACCTTTTCATGGAGAACCACTAAAAGCTAGTTGGTCGCCTACTCCACTCATATCTCCCTCCGCTCCAGACACCTCAACCAACCCGGCCAATAATGCATAAATCAAACACATGTTGTATCTAGCAGTTAGAGAGTGGTTTTGATTTTACTATTTGTAGTCCGGGTGCACCAAATCTGAGTGTAGCCACTACTTTCTCTTAGCAATTAACATACGATACAGAAGTAAAAGAACCAAGAAATTATATTTTTGTGTGTATGTCTTATTTTAAGCCCGCTGAAATAAACGCTGATGTCCTTCCACCAAGTTCCACAATACACTTTCATATTGACATAAATAAAGAATGACAGATTTTTGGAAACATCCTAGGCTGAGACAGCCCAACACTATGCTGTGACCCCATGCCATTAGTGCTTCGTCCAAGCGTATCTTCAAACATATGACATGCATGAAGCGTGAAACTCAAGCAAGAGTAATTCCTACACTGTTCTACATTTTCTAATTGCTCACAGTCTCCTATTCTGATCAAGCGACAAACAATATAGAAAGGAGAGAGGAATTTAGGATTCAGAAATACCGTGTCCGGCTGCTTGGCCGCTGGCTTCTGCACCACAACCTTAGGAGATGAACATGCATCAGAACAAACAAAACAGCCGCTATGTCTGGAATCGGGACGAGAGGAAGGGACGAGAACACAAATGAGGGGAAAAACAAACCGTTGTTTCTACGCGCCTTCGTTGGGGGCGGTGGTGAACTGGTGATTCCAATTGAATCACGATAAAGTAATCAGGGGTCCCTTCGCGTGGCCGATGGGGAGAGAGGCGTCGACTGTGTTCATACCACATCGCGGTGCTGGTCCTGGCCCTGGCTGCCTCGGCGGGCACGGAGAAAGGTGCATAGACGGGCGGCAGATGGGAAGGCGGATTGGAACGAAGGCGAGGGGATCGAGGGAGATTGGATCGTGGGACGGGGTGTTCGTGGGGTCGTGGCTATTTCTTTTTCCTTTTTTCTCTTGCTGCTTTTTCTGACGTGGGGTGAAAAGGAGCGATGCGGGGATCGAAGGAAGCGGGGGGAGCGAACCAGGTTGAACCATCACGACGTTCGATCCTCCTTTAATAGTAGAGATAATCGGGGCAAAAAAAAATTGCAATCTTTACGGTGGTGGCGATTCTCGATGAATATTATCATTTTATTTGTGAACTTGGTGTATCACTGATTGCAAATCTAGATTAATACCGGACTGAACTTGGTGTATCACTTATTTGTAAACAAAAATAGTTCAAACATTGTAATAAGAAGGCAAATATAGATGCTCATGAGCTTGATGACTAGATTTTCCTTGACGTTGGATTGGTTTGAGGAATCTCTGACTGAAATTGTGCGCTTCTCATAAACGATTTAACCGTCATTTTCAATGAACAAAGTTTTAGGTGTTTTGTGAAAAATAATAGATCGGGATATTTTTGAAAAAAACATAGCATGATATTTTAACCTTAGATTTGTCTTATCCATTTGTTGTGAGATTAGTGCGAGCAGACCCTTTGCTCGAGCCTTTTCCGGAGAGACCTACCTCGAGGTATCTCAGAAATCAACGGCTCAAAATAAACCCCGGAAACCGAATCCCTGCGCCCACACAGACACTGTGACGGAACTCCTCCAGATAGGAAGATAATGGTGGGCCGGAAGCCGATGCGCCGGCGCCGCGCCGACCACCCGCCTCCGCCGCCGCCACAGTCCTTCGGTGCCACGGCCCGGCCGACCTCCCCCCGCTCCTCCACCTCCGCCTCCGCCGTCGCCGACCTGGACGAGCTGCTCCACACGCCGTCCGCGTCGGAGCCCCGGAGCTTCCCGCACGCGGTGAAGCAGCAGTGCTGGGAGAAGGCCGAGAAGGTGCCTGGGCGCGACCCGGAGAGGTGGCGCCGCGACGCGCTCGGCAACATCGTCTTCCGCAAGCTCGTCGGCTGCCCCGGCTGCCTCTGCCACGACTACGACCACATCGTGCCCTACTCCAAGGTCCCAATTAAGAAGCTTCGCTTCCTATTTGCTTGATACATCTGGATTTCAATAGTGCTTGTGCATGCTCGTACGTTTTTTTTCTTCCTGAACTTGTTGTATCACTGATCCTTTTCAATTGGCAGGGCGGGAAGAGCACATTGGAGAACTGCCAGGTTTTGCAGGTACATATTCCATGTTTGATCACTCCAGTCTCTGTTGTGTACCCAAAAATGTACTATGTCTAGAGCATGATAATGGATACTTTCATGCTGGGTTATGTCTAGAGCAAGATAACTGATACCACCATGGTCCAGCAGACTTTCTGTTTATGCTTATGAGCAACTGAGAGAACCAAACTCCCTATCTTATCCCTACCTTTTTGCATATTGTTTGCGCATGTGTGCTACTTTCTTCAGACAAAGATTTTTCGAAGTAGTCGCCAGTAGCCACAGATCCCTGTTTGGCACTCTAGTCTCTGTTGTTTGCCTGAAAATGTGCTATGCCTAGAGCAAGATAGTGGATACTACCATGGTTCAGTAGACTATTTCTGCTTATGCTCATCATAGGCAGCTGAGAGAACCAAACTTCATATTTTATGCCTGTCTGTTCGCACATTGTTTTTGCATGTGTGCTCCTTTCTTCAGCCACAGATCTGCTGAAGTAGTCACCAGTATATTAGTCATTACTGTGATGCGAATCAGTTTATTCTATAGAGCATAACTGATATATCAAATCATACTTGCAGGCTACTGTGAATCGATCTAAAGGGAACAATACTGAGATATCCAAATCTGAACTAGCACAGAGAAGCGCATATTGTCGGGTTTCAGGTAAGTAATGTCTACCTTGAATGAGCCTGCTGCCTTTAGTGAAGCAGTCACTGAGCGCAAAATTTATTCAGACACCCAACTTGTTAAGTAATCTGTCTGATTTCCTCAGGACGTGATATGGATCTTTTTGAACTCTCTGCCTTTGGGAATGTTCGACGAGGGCCAGATTCAGGGGGCTGCAAAATCCAATGAAGAAATGAACATATCTGATGTGATGTTAACCAGCTTTGAGCAGTTGCCTCGAATCTGTGAAGAGAAAGCTTGGTTGATGGTTGTGTCAAATATTATCAGTTATATGTCTGTAATTTGACACTTTGAGTGAATTATCCAAGGAAAAAGGATCTGCTATTTTGCAGCCCAATATATGTTGTGTTCAGTACGAAGTATATCTTTTGTTAGTCCAGTCCTTTACCATGCCAATTTTACAGTCATACAATTTATCTGGAAATAGTATGCAAGTAAAAGCCATAGGAAGAATGTTCAATTTGATTTAATGCTGTGATCCAGATAATCTACAGACCGACAGCTGAATTTTGTGGGTTCTATTTTAACGTTTGCGCTGTTGTATATACTTATAAACTTATGGTTACTTCTTTTTGTAAAATACTGAATCAAGGCTATCATGTATTGAGAAGCTTTATGCATTCTTTGTCCACAATCCAGAGGATTGACTATCAGGATGAGCTGTGTCATCTTAGCTGCACTTGGCAGGACGCCAGGATGATGGGCAAAGATACTGAATCCTGATTCAGGGCTTGTACTTTCTTGTGTTCAATACCCCAGCTCGAAAGTGCAGTCACCGTATACAGGATTTTGCACAGATAATGCAATCTTTCCATGTGAATTGATTGATCTGACATTTGTATCCACAGATATATGAGTGGATGTGGAGACATGCAGATGTATGATCTTGGTTCGCAAGCCACAAATGATGCAATATCCAGATCCAAGGCATGGTGATGCCACTGAAGCGACAATGACTGGCTGTCTTGGGATTTTTTTGCAGTACTTCCTGAAACTTTTTTCTGCATTCTTATACTGCTTCTGAAATCTCAAACCTGAGTATAATTTAACTTCAGTGTCTGAGTTGGAATTTAGTGCTATTCACTGCATGTTTTCTACAGTTTGAAATAGACAAGATGTTGCGTTAATGTGAACTTTTTAGTAGTCTAAAACTCTAAATAGATCTGTGCTTCATATGTTAAGATTGTCCAGTGATCATGGCATATTTATCTTCATAGGTTTATTGATTGTTGTTGATATGCTAAATTACTTCATCAGAAGTCGCCAACTCACCATCCTTGATATGTGTATCTTCTTTTAAGAGCACCATGCCACATGCATACAGTATTTCACTGTTTAAAATTTATTTATTACATCCGAATCTTACTTGCTAATTTTTGTTCATATTTGAAAAGAAGTATGCTGCCAGATTATCCCCAAAATTTGCACCTATAGCTAGCTAAATTATAGCATAAGGATACAGACCGTCTGATGCTCCAGATCTAGAGGAACTACAGGAGTGATGATACATACTAATAGAGTAATAGTAACCCAAACCTCACTGTTTCTGTTCATTTCTCTTTTCTTATTCATGCATAGATAGGCCTGAAATTTGAAATTGCGTGTTCTAGGTGTTCCATTGTAGTCAAACACTCGAGAGGTCAGCTTGCTTGCATGCTTACTTTCTTTCATGCTCTGTGCATGACGTGCTCAGTGCTGTAACCGTGTCCACGCCTCCACGGTGGGTATGTTGAAATCCCACTGTCATATATCTTTCCATTTTATTTTTATTTTGGTATTAAGCTTGTCTTCACATATAAATAGTGTTCAAAGCAAGTAAGATGAATTTGCTAAATACTTAGTGTGGACTGAGGACTTGAAAGTAGTTATTCTTCTAGCGAACAGTGTTATCCACTTTAGCACTCTAGTGCAGCTTTTGCGTTATGCGCCTTTGATGGCAAAGTGCGCTACAAAAGTTTGGTAAAGTTAACATCCTTAAGGTTTTAGCTGCCAATTATGTGAAGACACCAAAAGGCAACTGGTGCTATAAAAAAGTGACTACTGCTTGTTGTGTTTGACCTTTAACTCTTTTATTTAAAGTATTGCATCACTTCTTTCGTAACGTGGCCGAAAGTCCCATGGATAGACATGATGGCCACTGTGCCCCCAATACTTGAGGAAATACGGTTATTTTCCTGTTAAGTATGCAGAATAATAGACCTTTTTTTAGCACATCATATTAAACCATATTAAACATGTGTTCTCACCATGACAATACTGCTGAAAGATAAAAACAAAGTCAATAATATTGAGAATCAGAGGCATGCTTGGTTGGAAAAGCTTTATGCTTCTCTTCTTACAGTAGTATGTTTTATTTTGGTTGTGTCTTTGCCTTAGAGGAGGGAGGGGGCTGCACATTTTGTGTGTGTTCTGATAACCATTGACCAGCAATCAGATGACCATTATATTGGAAGTTTGATAGAAGGTCAAACATGTAGCCTATTAAAGGTCAAACTGGTTGACGATGGTGTAAGTGGAAGTGGCACTGCCAGATGCCAATGACTGAAAAGCAGAATGAATGGGGGCAATAATGCATGTTGTTGAAACATTTGAAAGGTAGGATGTTACCTAACAGATAGAAATTTTTGTTTAGTGGTATGTACTAGTCTATACCCGCCGCCCACACTCTGTTTGTTTGTAGGACTACCAGTGTCTGTTGATGGGATGGCACAACTTTCAGACACTACTTTTTTGTCAGCTCCTGATGTTACTTCCTTACCACATGATAAAATGTTGATCTACTTAAGTACGCTTCTGAGATATTCATATGACCATGGAAAAAAAATGATATTCATATGAGACCATGCATGGACTTGAAGATTTTCTTTGTGCTCATCTTTACTTATTGGTTTTCTTTATGCAGGACAGTTTGCAGTATGTGTGAAGGAGATAATATATTAGTTGTCACATTTAAGGTTAGTGGGTCATCCAGTAGTTGTCTATCACTTTCTTTCTTTCTTCCATGCCTTCCTCCACTTTTTGCATCACTTTCATAACCCAATTATCTCAACTATAAGGATGAGAAAACAAAGAAAAAGAAAGGGAGAAAGGAACAAATATATCAGATACTGTTTCTGCTATCTGTGCAAATTCTTATATTAGAAGAAATAGACAAATGGAAACAAGCTGGAGATATGCACATGGTATCACATTTCCAAGGATGCAATGGGCTCATTTTTGTTTGTTATACAATGGAATCAGACAGCTACCAATTGTTTCGGTGCTATCACGCAAAGGTGTTCCTGCCAAATATTCCAATCAATATATCATATTTATCTACAGATACAGGAACTTCTGCTCCCAATCTTCCCCAACCCAAATAGCTATCTACAAGTTACCTAGTACAGCTACAGTTACATGATCTGATTATAGCTATGTTGAACACTTCATGTCTCTTATCTAGTAGTATACAATTATCTAATGTACAAAATTTCAGCTGTATCATGCTACATGGTTTTATAGTAGCAGAAGGCAGCATGAAGAATTTCCAGATGGTGCTCAAGATCTCTCATGGAAGTTGACTGAGCGTGACAGTGCAGCAGGGTTCCCCTTCAAGAATGGCAGGCTATTGTTACCTCTGTGGCTTGACGTCTTTGCCTCATCCTTTGGATCAAAAACCCTTGCAAGCTTACACCCTTTGCCATCATCCTTCTCCTCCTTGTCGCCCTTGATCCCAATAAGTGACCAGATAGAACTCCTGGCCACCTCATCTACGTCATCGATCCGGATCGTCTTGGGCACCCACACCTTGCCATTACCCTTGGTATCTCTTTCCTCATCACCGTCTCTAGGGTGCTTTCGGGATTGGAAGCAACTGGACATTGTCGATACCGGAGAAGCAGCACTAGGTGGTGAGCTAGATTGACACTGAGACTGCGGCTGCGGCTGCGGCTGTGGCTGCCATGGAGTGTTCCAGGCTCCCGGAACCATGCAGCCCCAGTAGGCAGCAGCAGCAGCTGGATAGAATGGAATTGCTACGTTTGAGGGGAAATAGGCAGGTGGTGGTGCACAACTGAATGGCCACATGGCTGCCCCGTTCATGCACGGATGCTGCACAAAATTTGCGGATCTATCTGCTGCAACTCTCTCCCTCGGGTTCATTTGGCTCGACTCTTCTCCCTTTGCCCATCCTTCAGCAGAAGACCCTACTGATGGGGCATCGGTGTTCTCAGTCCGGGTTACCGAGCTGAGATCCTTTATGTGCTTCATCTGTTCTGAGACGTCTAAGGTGGACGCATCGGAGCCAAAGCTGAGCACCGTGCCGTTGGTGTTGACCGGGGTGCAGAGAGGATCACCGGGCAGAGCAGCCCTTATCCTCTGAAGGAAGTGGGAGGCGGCTGACAGACTCTTGCTCTTGCGGCGGCCCGCGCCCACGGGCACGTTGCGCATGGCGCCTCCGGCCGTCCAGTACCTCTGGCAGTTCTTGCAGAAGTGGCGCGGCTGGTTGATGTTGTAGTTGTTGTAGTAGCAGAACTTGGTGTCCATGCTGCTGCACCGGGGGCAGGGCAGGATCTTGTCAGGCTTCTTGAGCTTCTCCTTCTGGTTCGCCGTGTCGCCCTGCTCTTCATCTTGTTGATCTGCTGCCGAGTTCTTGGCAGCGGATGGGTCCTCGACGTCCACAACCTCCGGCTGCTGCGGAGGCGAGCCCGTGGAGTCCTGAGGGGCGATTTCTTGCACCTTCGGTTCAGCCGTGGCGCTGCTGCCTCTGTGCTGAAGGTCCTGTAAACATACAGAAAATCCCGATGAGGTCCTTTGCAATTCTTTTGCTGTGAATTTAGAAGTTCACACCCATGGTTTATATTCGGGTTATTGACCTGTGACTGCACATGCTATCTCCAAGTGTAAAATTTGACAAAAATATATTAATGTTTCGGTTCTTATCTGTTAGTGAAAAGAAGCTATGGTGCTTTAATTTGCAGTGGGTGATCTACTCAGAGTCTGATGCATCTGAAGTCCAGTAGGTTACGGCACCACATAGTAGTAGCCACTTTCAGCAAAATCCTTGGAAGCACGCGAAAACGACCCATTAAAAGAGGCCAACGCCTTTCTTTCCAAAGTCCAGATGATGTTCAGACAACTAGATCACGTAGTAGTACTAAAAACTGCTGCTATTAGAGAGCAGCAAAGGCGAAATTCTCTTGCTGATGGGAGCTAAACCTGCGTGCTTAACGCTTAACTGATGCTACTATCTCCCGAAATAGGCAAGGAACTCCATGCTTAAGACCCGATGACTAGACCGAATACGACTCCTCGCCATGATCAACTCCAAAGCCACAGAAAACAGGCTTCAAAATGAACTTTCCCCCCCTAGGCTCAGTAAATAAACCAATCAAAATTCCCAAGTTCCTATACAAGAACACGAAGGAGGAGGAGTGCATGAGCACCAACCTTGTCGCCGGCGTCCGGCACGGGGATGGTCTTCCCGAACAGCTTGATCAGGCAGTCCCCGCCGCCTCCAGGCGCCGCCCTGAGCTGCCCCATCTATGTCGCTCTGTCTGTCTGTCTCTCTCTCTCTCTCTCTCTCTCTCTCTCTCTCTCTCTCTCTCTCTCTCTTTTCGAGGCTATGTGCTCCCCGCTGCTCCGTTCTTGGGAATTTTGCTTTCTTGGACCGGGCCACTGCTGCTAATCCCTACCGTGCGACGCTCGCTCGCAGACAAGGAGGAGCAGTAGGCGGCGAGGTATGGCGCGATGGAGGGAGGGAGAGATTTTTTGGCCTCCGGGTGGCTGGAGCTGCTGAGGGTGGATGGGATTGGGGATAGTCCGGTTTTAAGGAGGAAGAAAGGGGGGGTGGCGGGGGCCACGGGCGCGGGCAGAGAGCCACAAGTTGGGTTTGTGGCCTTCAGGGGTGCGGTTTTTGATTCGCTCCACCATCTCGCTTTTGCCCCCGCGTCGCCCTCCCACCCCCCTTCCGTGGCAACCCAACGCTTGGCTGAGGCTGGGCGCACATTCGCCTGTTTTGTTTTCCATCTCTCCCCCCTTGGTGGGTGCTTGCTGCTGGGTGAAAAAAAAAATGCCCCGCTTGCTCGGTGTTATTCTTCCCTGGTCTCTCCTCTTTGGGCAGCTTGCGTGTGCAGTTTCTACCGTACGCTCCGTTCGTTTGGTTTGTATCAAGTCAAACTTCTTTGAGTTTTTTTTTGCGAATAAAACTTCTTTGAGTTTGACCAACTTTATAGAAACAAGTGCTGATGTCTTAACATCAAATAAACGTATAGTGTTAAAATATATGTTATGATGACTCTAATGGATTTAATTTGGTGTTGTAGATGTTGGTATGTTTTCTTACAGACTTGCTCAAACTTGAAGAAGCTTGGCTCGGGACATTCAAGTATTTTGGAACAAGGGGAGTAGCACGCCTCGAAAACCGCAACGGGTTTAGACTTGTGCAGAGATCGATTGCTATAGGAGCTTTGGCATGAGGAACATTCAGGAAGCATCTTTCTTGGTTGAAATGGCTTCTAAAATTTGAGCATTGGTTGTTCTTGTCGAGTACTCGAAGAAGAGACATTTTCTGCCAACAGTTCCCACGATATCTGAGAGCATCTCTCTTTTTTAAGCACCCAGTAATTAAGTGTTTTCACCAAAATAACAATCAATGAGCTCATGGCTTTTTTATAATGTGGATGAGAAGGTGTTTCACCACAGAGAGTATATATGGTTTTGTTTGAATTGAGAGTATTTTTGAAGTTATGCAATGTGTTCACATAACATAGTTGTTCATCTTCTTGAAATCACATGTTTTTGTTTCCTGGCCCAGATGAAGGGAGCCTCAGAACAACTGCCCGGGCAATGTGGTTCCATGATGCAATTATAGTCAGCCACCATTGCAGGATAAACTTAAGGCAAGCTACCCACCGGTGGTGTGCCTTCAAATTGGGCACCCAAGAGCCACAACACATCATGAGAAGCCCTGCAAAAGATTGGGCATCGGAAGCCCTACAAAAGATTGGCATGTTCGAGATAAGTGCTTCAAGGTTTATGGTGGTGAGGTTGATCGTCAATGTCGGCCCATTTGATGGTGTGGTTACAAGGGCTCTCCTGGAGATGAGGAGGGGTCGGGGGCCAGAAGTTTGATTTGTGGTCTCAAGGGTGTGGTTTCTTATTCGCTCCACAATCTCGCTTTTGCCCCTGTGTCACTCACAACCCCACCCCCCTAAATGGTAGTCAAATACTTGGTTGTGGGCATGCACATTTTTTCCTTTCTCGGTTTCTCTGTTAGCTTAGGTGGGTGCTTGTTGTCATTGCATGGAAAATGCCTTGTTTGTTACTTGGTGTGTCCTCTTTGGGCAACTTCATGCGCGACTTCATACCAAAGCAAAACACCTTTCCAAATGGTTTAGGCTTATGCTTAGGCTAACAACCATATAAAATTAGGTACAAAGGAAGTATCTAGAAATATGTTTTTGTTTGAAACAACTTCTGAAATCGGAGCATTAGTTGTTGCTCTTGACAAATCAAAGATGAGCATATTTGTAACAGTCCACCTAAGTCCAGGAAGCCTCATTTTGAAGCTTTTAGCTAATCAACTAGGTCAGCCATAGAAAATAAGCCCATGGTAAATTATCTCTTTTAATATAACATATTAGAAGTTGTTTCGCCCTACATTTTAAGATCATGTTTGGATTGAAGGTATTTTTTCATAAGTTTGTCTAAACACGAATCTTTCATTTATTTGAAACCATGTATAGACATTAGGAGACCTAGCTAGATCGTGAAAGCCGCTTAGAAGATGTTGAAGCAATTTTCTGCCAACACTCTGCATAAGTTCGGAAAAGCCTCTTTTTAAGCTTGTCATTGATGGACTGGAGCGGCCTTGGGAAGTAAGCAAACGGTAAAATAGTTTCATTGAAATAACAATCAATGAGCTCACGGGTTTTACATAATGCAAATGAGTAGGGTTTTCACCATGGAAAGTAAGATTTTGTTTGGATTGATAGTGTTTATGAAGTTAAGTAATTTGATGGTTTTCTTTTCAAAGCTTGCCTAGAGACGAGGAGGGGTCGAGGGCCAGAAGGTTGATTTGTGGCCTCAAGGGTGTGGTTTCTTATTCGCTCCACCATCTCGCTTTTGGCCCTATGTCACTCACACCCCCTCTTGCATGACAGTCAAATACTTGGTTATGGGCATGCACATTCCTTTTTTGGTTTCTCTGTTAGCTTAGGTGGGTGCTTGTTGTCATTGCATGGAAAATTCCTTGTTTGTAACATGGTGTGTCCTCTTTGGGCAACTTCATGTGCGGCTTCATACCAAAGCAAAACACATTTCCAAATGGTTTAGGATTGTGCATATGCTAACCACATAGAAAATTAGGTATAAAGGAAACACCCAGACACATGTTTTTTGTTTGAAACAACTTCAGAAATTTGGGCATTAGTTGTTGATCTTGACAAATCAAAGACCAGCATATTTGTAACAAGAGTCCACCTAAGTTTAGGAAGCCTCATTTTGAAGTTTGTAGCTAATGAATTATGTCGGCCATAGAAAATAAGCCCATGGTAAATTGTCTTTTTTAATATAGCAGATTAGAAGTTGTTTCACCCTACACTGTAAGATCATGTCTGGATTGAAGGTATTTTTTCATAAGTTTGTCTAAACATGAATGTTTCATTTATTTGAAACCATGTATAAGCACTAGGAGACCTATCTAGGTCGTGAAAGCCGCTTAGAAGACGTTGAAGCAATTTTCTTCCAACGCTCCGCATAAGTTCGGAAAAGCCTCTTTTTTAAGCTTGTCATAGATGGACTGGGGGCGACCTTGGGAAGTAAGCAAATGAGTAGGGTTTTCACCATGGAAAGTAAGATTTTGTTTGAATTGAGAGTGTTTATGAAGTTAAGTAATTTGATGGTGTGGTTTTCAAAGCTTGCCTGGAGAGGAGGGTCGTGGGTCAGAAGTTAGATTTTTTGTCTCAGGGGTGTGGTTTCTTATTCACTCCACCATTTCACTTTTGCCCCTGTGTCACTCACGAACCCCCTTGCCTGGCAGTCAAAAACTTTGTTATGGGCATGCACACTTTTTCCCTTTTTCGGTTTCTCCGTTAGCTTAGTTGAGTGTTTTTTGTCCTTGCATGGAAAATGCCTTGTTTGTTAATCAGTGTGTCCTCTTTGGGCAGCTTTGTGTGTGATTTCGGACCAAAGCAAAACACCTTTCCAAACGGTTTAGACTTGCGCATAGGCTAACCGCCATTGGAAAACATGTTTCTTGTTTGAAACAACTTCTGTTATTTGAGCAAGTTGAAGAAGAGCATATTTGTACAAAGAGTCTACATAAGTTTTGGATGTCTCCTTTTCAATCTTGTGGCTACAAACCTCAGCCGACAATAGGAAATAAATCCATGATAAATTCTCGCTTTTAATATAGCAGATTAGAAGTTGTTTCACCCTACACTGTAAAGATCGTGTTTGGATTGAAGGTATTTTTTCATAAGTTTTTTATTGGAATGTCTAAACACGAATGCTTCATCTATTTGAAATCATGTATAGACACTAAGGGACCTAACTAGGTCATGAAGGCCACTTAGCGGGCGTTGAAGCAATTTCCCACCAACGATCCACATAAGTTTGGAAAGGCTCTTTTTTAAGCTTGTTGTTGATGGACCAGGGCGGCCTTGGGAAGTAAGCACATGGTAAAAAAATCATGCAAATAACAATCAATGAGCTCATAGATTTTTTTAATGTGAATGAGAAGGTCTTTCACCATGCAAACTTTGTTTGAATTGAGAATGTTTATTAAGTTAAGTAATCTAATGGAGTGGTATTCGGAGCTCGCCATAAGACGAGGAGTGGTCGAGGGCTAGAAGTTGGATTTATGGCCTTATGGATGTGATTTCTCTTTCGCTCCACCTCTCGCATTTGTCCCTGTGTCACTCAAAAACCCCAATTGCATGGTTGTCAAATACTTGGTTGTGCATGCACACATTTTTTCCCTTTTTGGTTTCCCTGTTAGCTTAGGTGGGTGCTTGTTGTCATTGCATGGAAAATACTTGTTTGTTAATCGGTGTGTCCTCTTTGGGAAGATTCATGTATGATTTCGTACCAAAGCAAAACACCTTTCTAAACGTTTTAGGCTTGTGCATAGGCTAACCGCCATAGGAAATTCAGTATAAAGGAAGCCTCTAGAAGTATGTTTCTTGTTTGAAATGGCTTCCAAAATTTAAGCATTGGTGTTGCTCTTGTCAAGTTGAAGAAGAGCATATTTGTACCAAGATTCCACATAAGTTTAGGACATCTCCTTTTGAAGCTTGTAGCTAATTAAAGACCTCAGTCAGCCATAGGAAATAAATCCATGATAAATTCTCGCTTTTAATATAGAAGATTAGAAGCTGTTTCACTCTACACTGTAAAGATCATGTTTGGATTGAAGGTATTTTTTCATTAGTTTTTGTATAGAATGTCTAAACACGAATGTTTCATCTATTTGAAATCATGTATTGACACTAGGGGACCTAGCTAGGTCGTGAAGGCCGCATAGCGGGCGTTGAATCAAT